CTTTGTAATAATCAAGTAAGATATTGTTACATTCCATTCATATACTGCAATTTATAATATTGATAGATAATATTAAGATACACATATATAAGAACTAGGATACTCTTTATGGCCTCTATTTTCTGATGTATTTAACAAAAACAAAGTCAAAAAAATGAAAACAATTGCTGGTGTTTCCAGTTTCCCAACAGAGATGCAGGACCAATCCCTGAGCAGCTGCTCTGTGCTGTGGTTTCCAGGCCTGTGACAACTCTGCCCTGGCTGTTGGTGTTTGGGGTGGGGGGGAGTCAAAGGTGCCACCAAAGTCCATGTGACAGCACAGCTCCAGGAGCACAAACAGAAACCAAGGGAGCAGTTCAGTGACTTGTGGGCCGGTTTGCTGCACTTTGCATGTGGGAACAAAATGCTGTATTTCTGTGTAATGCCAGAAAAACTGACGTCCGTTCCCAGAGGCAGGAGCGAACCCCAGCAGAGTGGGCTGTGTCAAGCTCCAGGTGTGCCAAGGACCAAAAATACAGGGAGGGAGTAACTTGTGCATCAGTAGTGCTGCCTGAAAAGCTGTGTATGGAAATCCCAACCCACCCCAACCCAACCCACCTCCCCTCAGGCTTTGGTCAGTGCAGGGATCCCAGGGTTCAGTGGCGGGGAGTGAGAGCAGTGCCAGGGACTGGGGGACTCTGACCTGTGGGCAAAAAGCTCTGGTGTTGAGTTGCAGCTCAGCGATGGTCCTGCGGCAGTCCTGGCTCAGCCTTCCTTAAAAGAAATGCTTGGTTTTATGCTGGCTCAAAAAAACCAAAAAATCCCTCTGTCACTTCCAAAAGGACACCAAGGCCATGGGGCGTGTCACTCAAAGGTTTCCCATCGCTTTCTGAGCTGCTCCACCTTACCTGGTGTGGGTGACACGTCCTGCTTGGTCTTTTTTAACAGATCTTCAAATGGATCTTTTGTCTCCTCAGATTTTGAGGACAGTAACACTGACTCCAAGCCCTTGGCTGGCCTGGCAGGGACCAGAGGGGGTTCACTGGCCAGAAGAGCCAGGGCTTGTTTGGGATCTACCTTTGTGCTGGGCTGGCCCACCTGTAACGTTCGGGGTTTGGGGGGAGCAGCCAGACACGCTGGCTGGAGGGAGCTGGTGGGAGAAGGGCTGTGGCTCTGCAGGAGCAAGGAGCCAGCTGCTGGCACAGCTGGAGCCTGGCTGAACAGGTTTGGCATGGAGAGCGTGGCCATGGGGGGCTGAGGTCTCTGTGCCGGGTAGAAGGCGGCAGTGGGGGTTATGAAGCTGGAGCTGTAGGCATGACCTAGGGAGGGGGTGAAGGAGCCCCTGGGGGCTCTGACCAGGGACACGGGCAGGGCTCCTGGCAGTGTCTGGGTGAACGGATTGGGGGAGGGCTGTAGAAAAGGCGGGGGAGCAGGATAGCCCAGGGGCTGGGCAAACGCTGCAGCTGCAGGAGGCACAAAGTCACTGGGCAGGGCCCCGAAGGCGGGCGCGGGGGCCGAGCCCTGCGGGGCCCTGGCCGGCCAGGCCGTGGTTCTCAGCGGGTCCAGCAGGCTCAGCAGGAGCTCGCTCTCGTTGCCGGCGCCCTCTGCCTTCACCCGCTCGGGCTGCAGCATCCCAGCGCTGCCGGCAGCGCCGCACGGCAGCTGGGACGGGCGGGAGGAGCCACCCGCTGACTGCTGCACTTCGGCCTTTAGGGACACAGCCCCAAAGGGCTCGGGGATAAGATCTGAAACCAAGTGGCCGCGCCCCTGAGGGGTGAGGATTTCCGCTGGAGCCTGGTGCTTGGAAGCCCTGGGTGCTGGTGGTGGTGGCACGATCCCCAGTTCTGGAGTCTTTCTTCCCTGGGGTCTAGGAATGGTGATGTTCCCTTGAATGGCAGGATTGGATTCATCCTTTTCTGCAGGAGCCAGACCACTGTCTCTGCTCTGGGGTGTCCTGGAGATGGGGGGCATGTTACCCAGGACAGCCAAGGGTCTTTCTGGGGAGCTTTGGGAATATTTGGTGGGAATAGCCATATCATCATGGCCCATGCTCCACAGCTTGTTGTAAGGGTGGGACAGCTTCATGCTTGGCACAATCCTGCTCCTCTCAGACACACCAAGATCCATTCTCTGCAAGAGAGCAGAACAAGCATTAACTCTAACTGATGTCCTCACAAGGCAGAGCAGGAAGTGAGTTCAGGCTGCTGTGAGGGAAGAGGATCAGCCCCCAGGCTGATCAGTGCAGAGGGACAGCAGCGTGTGGCCAGGAGCCAGCCAGGACTCTGCAGCTCCAATTCCAGCTCTGCTGCCACGGGGTTGTTCAGCTGGCACATGGTGTGCATCTGTCACAGCCCAGCAAGGAGCACACAGCCTGTGTCCAAGCACAGAAGCTGAGAAGCCTTAATTGCTGCATGGAATAAGTTGACAAATGAAATATCTGAATGCAACACTAAAATCAATATTATTATAAAGTAGAAATGACATTTGCTTCTTTAATGTCAGATGAAGATCTTGGAGTCTGCTTTAGTTTAACACTTTCTGAGCAATGTTCCGTCACAAACATCCTGTTTCTTCAGAGGGAGATTGTTCAAATGATGCTTAAAAAAGAGCCAGATTAAAAGAAAAAAAGTTTGCAGGGGACCTGAAAATTACCAACTATTCATTCTCACTGTCAATCATCAACTTCAAGGATAACTCTATGTGATGGCCATGGGACAAACAGATTCTGAGGAAGAGGGCAAATATCCCCTCCTTTAGAAGCAAAGGCTTCAGAGGAAACACTTATCACCGAGTCCCATTTAAGCCATTTCTTAATTCAGAAATTAATTCTGAAACACATAAGCAAATCCCTGGAAAACAGATGATGATGATGATGATGATTATTATTAGGATCT